ATGCTAAGTGAAGCTAGCCAATCCCTAAAAAACAAATGCCAAATGTCTTCTTTGATATAAGGAGAGTAACTAAGAACAGAGTAGGGACGAAGAGCAGGAGAAGAAGATTAACATTAAACAGGGATGAGACGTGGGAGGGAAAGGGAGAGAGAAGGGGAAATTGCATGGAAATGGAAGGAGACCCTCAGGGTTATACAAAAGTACATACAAGAGGAAGTGAGGGGAAAGGGAAAAATAATACAAGGGGGAGAAATGAATGACAGTAGAGGGGGTAGAGAGAGAAGAGGGGAGGGGAGGGGAGGGAAGGGGAGGGGGGATAGTAGAGGATAGGAAAGGCAGCAGAACACAACAGACACTAGTATGGCAATATGTAAATCAATGGATGTGTAACTGATGTAATTCTGCAATCTGTATATGGGGTAAAAATGGGAGTTCATAACCCACTTGAATCAAAGTGTGAAATATGATATATCAAGAACTATGTAATGTTTTGAACAGCCAACAATACAAAATTTAAAAAAAAAAGAAATGAAAGAGATTTGATTGACAAGAAGAAAAAAAAAATAAATGGCTCATCTCATAGTCTTCTCCATCCACCCTGCTCTACCCTCAGTCCTCTCCATCTTTCTCCTTCCTCGTCCATCTTGATAATCCCCCACCATTCTGTTCACTACCCATATTCCCCCTCTTTCCTCATCTGCATACTTCTTGTTCCTGTACCAGGCATCACCATCCAGCCCTGCTGCTCACTCATTCCTTCATATCCAACCTGCTCAGTCCTCCCCATCCAACCCTGTTTCCCCCTCACTCCTGCTTTCCCGCCCAGTTCTTCCTTCACTCCTCCCCATCTATCTTCCCTCACCTTCACACTTCTCATCTAAAGCCATCCTGTTCCTACCTCAGTCCTGTCAATTCAGGGTGACTGTCCCCCTTTCTACCCCACACAACCTGCCTTTCTCACAGTGAAGCTCCCTCAGTCCTCTCCGTAAACCGTGCTCTCTCCTTGCACCACCTCATAAGTGGTGTTCCTTCCTTGATCCTCTCCATCCATTTTTCCTCTGCACTTAGTTTCCACATTAACATCATTTTCTGTCATTCATCCTCATCAGTCATGCTCTTCCCTAGGACCTTTTCATTCCCTTTCCTCCCTTAGTCTTTTTCATCTGCCTGGTTTAGCCCTCTGTCCTCCTACAATCCCTTCGGTATTCTGCCTGTATCCAACTCCTCCCTCGGTTATCTCATTCCAACCTGCTCCTACTTCAGCCCTCTGGGTTCAGCCTGCTCCCTGGTGGCTCCTCCTCATCCTTCCTTCTCCTCCCTCAGTTCTCTTTATTCACACAGTCCTCCCTCTGTCCTCTCCTTTTAGTGCCGCAACTCTCATTCCTCCTTACCCTTCGTGTTCCCCTTTCTGTCTTGTCCATCTGTACTTGTTTTCCTTAAGTCCTCGCCATTCATCCATCTCCTCTCTTTGTCTTCTAGGTCAAGCTGGTTACTCCCTCAGTCCTCTCCCTTCACCCTGCTCCTCCCCTAATCCTCTTCATTTATGCTGCTTCTCACTCAGTCCTCTCCATGCATGCTGTCCCACCCTCTCTCGCCTTCCACACTGCTCCTTATGTGGTCCTCTCCAACCATCCTGATCCAGGATGTGTAGGAGAGAGGAAGAAGCATGGTGGACTGAGAGGATTGAGGGAGGAGCAGGATGGCTGGAAAGGATGGCAGGAGAAGAGAATTGTCATGGATATGGAGCAGTGAGGCAGGATCAGGATGGTAGGAAAATCAAGATGGAGGAACTATGTGGACCAGGCAGACCTGGGGAGGCACGTGGCAGATGGAGAGGACACAGTGAGGAGGAGGAAGGAGCAGCAAGGATGGAGAGGACAGAGGGAGGAGCAGGATGGATGGAAAGGATTGAGAAAAGAACAGGGTGGATGTATGGGTCCAAGGCGGGACCAGGGGTGGATGAAGAGGCCCGAGGAAAGAGGAACAGTGCTGTGATCAGTAGGAGTTATGGAGAAGGATGGATGGAGAGAACTGAGGAGACCTGTTTATCCATCCTGCTCCTCCCTCAGTCATCTCCATGTAACTATGCTCCTCCCATACTCCTCCTCTATCCTGCTCCTCTCTCAGTCTTCTCATTACACCCCTTTCCTCCTTCAGTTCCCTACACCCACCCCAATCCTTTCTAACTCCTTATCCCACAACCATCCCCTCTTTACTCAGTCCTCTCTGTCCATCATGTTCCCCTGTCTCTCTTCTCTCCATCCATCCTAATCCTTTACCAGTTCACTTCACCACATTGCTCTTCTATCCATTCTTTCCATATTCTCTCCTCCTCCCTCAGTTCTCTCCATCCATCCTGCTATTCTCTGGATCCTTCCTGCCCCCTTATAGCTCCTCCTACACTTTCATGCAACCTGGACTGGTGTGGAGTGCATGTACATTCTCTCTCTGTCCCCTCTCTCACCTCCACACTGTCATTACACAAACCTCTCACACTTTTCTCCTCCACCACAGTTTCTAACTGAATTCAAGCCACCATCAAATATTGTATGCCTTGTCACTGAGTCTTCCCATTTCCCTCTCAGAGAAACCAGAGTTTCCAACAAGAACCTAAATTGGACCATGCCTGTCCACTGCTCCAAATCCCCGATGGCTTCTCACCAGACTTGGGACAAAACTCACATAGGTCATCAATGCCCTGCAGAGTCTGTATCTACCCTCACCTCCTTCCTCTGAACTCCAGCCATGCCATCCTTCAGGGGTTTCCTTAAATATTTATTGTACAGTTAGTGATTCTCTCTCACACTTATCCCCTGGCTCAGGATCTCTGCCTAGTGACCCTTTCTCACCTCCAGGTCTTCACACTGTTAGCTGAAGCATCACCTCCTTAGAAATGCTGTTTGTAAACACCTGCCGTACAGTGCCCTCGCTCTCTTCTTTCTCCTTCCCAGAACTTCTGACCCCTTATGACATATTTATTTATTGCCACATTAAATGCCTCTCCAGCTAGATCCTTGCTCCCCCAGAAGGCAGGCAGAGGGTGGTTGTTTCTAGTAACCCCTTCATACTGTTGTCTAACCCTGTTCTTCGTGTACTAGCAGGTACTTCATCCACTGAAAGGAAGAACGAATGACCGTGTGTTGGAGGCTTCTAATGACTCAGGAGCAAGAAAACCCACTTCCTAAAGAGTTCCCTTTTTTAAAATTTCTGTCTCACATGTGAACATTCATTTAAGCAGAACAAGACAATGTGTGTAAGCAAAGCTGTGTGGCAGTTTCATGGAGCCCAAAAGACCATCGGCTCCAGGCAGCAAAAGACTGAATCACAACCAACCCAAGACAACAGGAACACGGGAGCCATAATTTAATCAAGCACCTGTCAGTCAATCAGTTATCAATTGTTAAGCAAATATTTAGTGAGCCCTTCCCACATTCTTATCTCTCTGTGAAGAGCTAATCAAATCCCCTGAGTCCTTCAAAGATCCAGGGTTGTTGCTTCCCCTGTCACCCCCCATCACTCCAACCCCTTTGTCTACGTCCCTTTGCCTTTCCCCTTCCTTGAGAAAGGGAGGCCCTACTCCAGCAGGCGCACATACACCACCATAGCTCCTGCCCTTCAGACCAGGATTCTTACCTTGAATGGGGGAGAAGAGCTTGAAGATGAGGGGGCAGGCCAAGACGACTACCTGGCCCCGAGGGGTAGCCGGCCAGCAGGTAAGGTTGTCCCACATCTTACTGCAGCCTGTGTGGTGAAGGCAGAGGACACATGGGTCACCAGAGAAGCCCTGGGACCTGAGCTCACAGGTACCACTCTATTCCTCCTCCGGACAGTCTCTTACCTTTGAGGAGCTCCAGTCTGAGAGGGGAGGCACAGACTTGCCAAGGCTGTTCAGGACATGTCCTGACAGGGAGAGGGGAGAGAAGGCATGACTACCACTCCATGGTCCTCAGTGAGGGATGGAGTGCCCCTTTGGGGTGTTTTGAATGCTTGGAGGTTTTGTTTATTGCAGTGATGGAAGGCTTCATCTGGTATTTGATGGGCAGTAACCAGGGATGCCAGGCAGGTGACCTGGATGGTCCTACACAGTGATAAATCCTCTTACATTCTGCATGACTTTCAGATGTGCCACTGGGCATCTGTGTAGATGAAAACCTTTTGCAATGACCAGAGCTTGGACTCTTGCTCTATTTTACGTAAAAACGTAAAGTGCTTTTTGCACAGGCTTAACATGCATGAAGTTTTCTAGGAATGTAACCATTGAGAAAAGGGGGAGAGGAATATACCTTGTTTTGTTCTGAACTTTAGAGTCATTTGATGATTTGGGAAATCATGTTACCCACAGCAACACTGTTTGTGATATTTGAGTCACTGATATAACCACCTGCATATATCAATCTGCATTTATTGCCCTCACATTCCCAGAATTTATATTTATAGGTACAACCTTCAGACCATATCTTCTTATCTTTTAGTGCAATCATGCCTGAATGTGTACACAGCATTGTATTATAAGTTACTTTCCTTTTTGTTTGTCTTTCATATTATAGCTAGAACATCTTTTTTTGGTAGCACAATGACCTTTCTTTTTACGATTTTTGAGAAAACTGACATTTAGATTTCAAAAATGTATCACAAAATTCTCATCAGCAGCAGTTTAAGGAACTTCAACAATGGTGATAGATCCTTCTTTACTGACACAAACAAGACTTTTACGACACATTCAAAAAGCAAAACATGTCCCAGAAGGGCCGATTATAAACCCTAATTTTTTTTTAAAGAATGAATATGAGTGGATTGTGAATCTCATTTTATAATAGTAAAAAGAGACCTTAGAAAAAATGTTGTTATAAAAAGGAGGTGTTGGGTACAATGGGGTGACAAGTATATTAGGGTTCATCTAGGTTTTGAGACTCTGCATAAAGCTCACACATCAGAACAAATGTCTCCAGCTCAGTTGGGTTAGGAATGGTGATGGGGGCATCAGAGAAAAGCCTGCAGCACAGGCTGTGGGCTTCACTGTGTAGCTATGAGTTTTGCAGGACCTGGCTAGTCAGGGGCATCTCCAGAGATCTGATTTACTAGGCAGATGCAAATGCCATAATTTTGCCTCTTTAGGATCAGGGTGCCCTTGAGTGACTACAACTACTCTGGACCCCCTCCCCTGAGGGAGGCTTAATTGTCTCTTTGCAATCCTGCCAGTCCCATAGATTTGCTCAGGAAACCCAACCCCTGAGCCAAAGTCAACGCCAGCTGGGCCAAGCCCAGCCCAGCCCAGGTCCGAAGGTTCACAAGTTCCCAAGAAGGGGGCCTGGGAAGAGGAGGTGGAGGGATGTCCCCACTTAGGGGAAGAGACTCTGAGTGCTGGATTGGGGCAGCAGTGGGAGTGGAGACTGGAGGCAGGGACCTCTGGGTTTGCAGTAGTCAGGTGGCACCTGCAGCTAAAGGCTGAAGAAGACACTTGAACCCTGGGGTCTGGTCGGACTAGTCTCCCTTCCTCGTGCGCTCCAACCGCTTCCACCCCAACCTACCCCAAGAGCACCTGCAGCCTTGGTCTGGCTGCCGGTTCTCCTCCTTTCCTGTGCCAGCCTCTCTTGAGGCCACGTAGAGGCCTGTCGGGCCAGTCAAATTCTGCTTATGGTTTAAGACCCTGTTAATATCAAACACATGTAGGCTTGGTATGTGCCTGGCACTGTTCTGCCCTCTTTAAAGGAATAGCTTATTTAACCCTTCCACTTCACATCTGAGGAAACTAAGGCATCATGATTAGGCATAGCTGAAGGTCACCTTGCTGGTAGGAGGTGCAGCCTATTCGCCTGTTCCCACTGCTGGTTTGAAGGGCTCCAAGACATTTCTCTGGGGATTTGGTTGCTGCTGGACTTTGTTTACCCTTCTCTGACAGTGCCTGCCACACCCTGTTTTGTAGGCCAGCTACTGTTGTCTGGGTCCCCTCCAGACTTCAGACTCTCTGAAGCTCCAGCTGCCAGCACAGTCTGGGGAGCCGATTCAGAACCCGGCTTCTGGCCCGGAACTTGGCTTCACCAGAGGTGGATCAGAAGAGAGGGAGACTAGGCCCTGACCTCAGGTAGGTCACATTGGGCCTCAAGGAATCACAACCAAACAACTGGTCCTGGGGTGCAGGCCATCAAGTAAGGCAGGAAGCCAGGGAAGAGGACAATATGGGGGATGTGTTCGGGGAAGCCTCTTGTAGAAGTCAGGGTAGGACTGGTTGCTGAGGTAGCAGGGTCAGGGAAGAAGTGGAGGGGTCATAGCCATGAAAATGCTTGGTATGTGGAATGGCCTGTTGTCCTGGGAATATTTTTTGTGTGCCCACTGGGTGGGGTTGTTATCCCCATAGGAAAGCCCACCCTGAGGCATGAAATAAGGAATGGCAAGGCAGGGTGGCATTGGGCCTCTGCCGTGTCATTTTCTAGAAGTGCATGCACAAAGAGACACACAGAACCCCAGGCGCGCGCACACACACACACACACACACACAGATACTTACATGGACATGAGAAGACTAGACACAAGCAAACAGGTACAGAGGGCCACACAATTCACAGAGACAGACATGCACAAGGACAGACCCATCTGAGCATACCATGGACATTTACTCGAATAGAAATGCTCACAAATTGACACACAGGGGTACAGGATACCAGGCAGATGCATCTAGGCATGTACAGGCACACATCCACGACTCCTGGGGATACTCAGAGTCAGAGCAACAGACCCCAGAGAGACAGACAGAACCCCAGATAGGTATGCACCAGAAGTGTGAACTCACATGTACAGGAACACACACCCAGTCCCACACAAGGTCACGGGCAGACACACAGCCCATAGACCTACGCCTGCCCTCCCCTGGATCTCAGGCTGGCTGCCGAATGACAGGGTGTTGGCACTCAACAGGCACCAGGTGCCAGCAGTGATCTCATCAACATCACGAGGTGGCCTGCCCCGGGGCTGGGAAGGCGCTAAAGTGGGGCCTAGAGTCTGGGGTCTGGGTCTCCCAGGCCAGCCCATGATCTGGAGGCCTGCTAGGGCCTGTCTGCAGCCTGATCCTCCTCTCTACCCTCACAAGGGCAGTATGGGGCACATAGGCAGAGGGCAAGTCCAGCTACCCCTTGACCCAGCCTCAGTCCTGGACTCAGGAGACAGGGGCATTTTACCCTGTAAGGGGCAAGGCCCATCTGTGAGGTCACATACCCTCACTTATGTGTGCAAGAGATAGAGCTTGGGCATCAGAGCCAAGGAGCAGGGGCTCAGGAGAGGTTCCATAACTGTCAGCCTCAGGGCCATGGCTGGGGATCTGGAGAACCCAGCAGGGCAGAGAGGTGCTCCTGACTCTTACAGGCTGTCCCATCCCTGTAAGCCCAGCCTTGTGGAGATGACCTGGGACGGAGGCCCAGAGCAGATGCAGTTACTTCACTCTCTGCCTAAGGAACCAACTTCTATCCCCAGTGAGCCTTGAACCTGACCCGCCTGGCTCTCAACAGGCAGTCTGCCTTGGTATCCCCACTTTCCCAGCTTCTCTGCTTCTCCAAACCTGTTCACCCTCCAAAATCTGGCTCAACCTCCTGTTGCTGAGCTGTCCTGGTGGCCCTGTCCTGGGCAGCTGGGTACCACTATTCATACTACCAGGCTGGAGTTCTCCCAGATCCTTGAGGAGGAGCAGCAGGGACTCTCATGTGCTCAGCCTCTAGGGCTGACCTTGACTGGTCTACTAAGCAGGACAATGAACTGATGGTTCATTGGGCCTGCTGATGGTGGGTTGGGATGGGTAGGCCACTGTGTGTGCCTAAGGACTATTATGTATGGGCAGTGTCACTGTTAGTCCTTTGGGTGTTGTGCTGGCAGCATTTAGGGTTGGGAGAAAGAAGCAGGGCTCCAGCTTCTCTTATGATTAAGTATTCCAGATTTGTCCAGACTAGCCTAGTACTCCTTGCTCTGCATTTCCAAGATGGCTTTGAGCTTCCAGGTAGTCCCTGTGGAGGTCGCTGACTGAATGCCCCACTCTTCCTCCTGGCTCTAACCAAGTCCGTGGCTAGAGACTTGATTCAGTAGTGCTCCCATTGGGCAGCTACTCCAGCCTTTCTATGGGCTGGGCTGGGTGTCCTGGAACTTGCCTGCCTTCTTGTCCATAAGCCTCTATCACCTAGAACCCTGGACCTCCATCCTGGATGGGTCAGCAGCCATAAGTATCATCCCCACTCATTTTGAACCCCCCAAAGTAAAGTTGGATCCTCCACCAATTTCAGAGCCCCAAATCAGTAGGTTCTTTGTTGATCGCTGGGAGCTCCCCAGACCTGGGGTAGGGTGAGGAGAACAGGAAGACCTGTTCGACCTTCTTTCTCCCAACTTACCACCTAGCAGCTCTGTGGGGCAATCCCTGTCCCTTGTGATCTCCATCTAACCAAAGTGGAGTGTATGTGACTTGGACTTCAGCTCACAACAGGAGGAGACATGGGGCTCCATGGGGTCTGCGGCTCCTCTCTTCCCACGGGGCCTCACCTGCTGTCTCATTCTCCAGCTGGGCCTCCTCCAGGCACTCCTTGTGCTGCACCTCGATCATCTGCAGATAATCACATTCCTGCTGCAATCTGGCTGCCCGGCCGCCCTGCAGGGAAACAGATGGGGGACGGGGGGAGGGGTGCTTGTCAGCCTTGTCCACAGCCTGCCTCTCATCCACGATTTCCAGGAGCATGGGACCAGGTAGGACCCAGTCAGGACTTCCCTGG